CATCTCTGCATAACCAGTTACATCATCACCTAACTGCCAATCACATCTCTAAATAACCAGTTACATCACCACCTAACCGCCAGTCACATCTCTACATAATCAGTTACATCATCATCTAACCACCAGTCACATCTCTGCATAACTAGTTACATCGTCACATAACCGCCAATCACATCTCTAAATAACCAGTTACATCGTCATCTAACTGCCAGTCACATCTCTGCATAACCAGTTACATCATCACGTAACAGCCAATCACATCTCTAAATAACCAGTTACATCGTCATCTCACTGCCAATCACATCTCTGAATAACCCTTTACATCATCACCTAACCACCAGTCACACCTCTGCATAACCAGTTACATCAGCACCTAACCGCCAGTCACATCTCTGCGTAACATCATTGCATAACTGCCAAATTGCATCATTACATAACTGTCAAGTTACATTATCACGTAACTGCCAACTCCTATCATTGCATAACTATTACACCATATCACCCGGTAACTGCTGAACTACATTGTCATGTAACTGCCATACCACTGAGCACAGAGCCCAGCTGAGCCACGGTGTAACCACCACCATCACAGTTAATGCCACTCTCAGGTTGGAGTCCATTTCTACAAACACATGTCATTTATGTGCTAAATAATGAGATAGTAAATTTTCACTATTGTCAGAAATGTGAAAGAACTGAAAATGAGATAGTAAGTGACGAGCCCTGGTGGCAAAATGGTTAAGTGTCTGACTGCTAAGGGAAAGGTCATTGGTTCAAGCCCATCAGCTATGCCATGGGAGAATGATGTGGCACTTTGCTTCCAAATGGACCACAGCCCTGGAGACAGTGTAACGCAGTTCTAATAATGCTTCTCCATCTGATAAGGAGGCTCCCAGGGGGAATTTCATTGACAGCAATGTGTTTGGTTTTGCTATATAGACAGGAGCCCTGACAGCTTAATGTGCACTATGCCAGGTTGCTAACCAAAGCTCACAGTCCATATCGACTCGCAGTGCCCCAAGGAAGTTGGGCAGTGGGCTCCCTTGAAGTTTTAGAGCTGAGCAAACCCAGTGGCTGGTTTCTGTTACTGTGTGTGTGTGGGGGGGAGTGTTTGTTTACTATAGGTAGATAGGCAGAGGGTCAGTGACATTCAGTTCTTTTCCCAGGAAATCAGGAATTGATGACCAGCCTTCAGTTCACCTGATTTCCCTCCGTTAGACGTCACTCCATGCTGTAGAGAAATGATGATTATGAGGAACCCACGCACGCTCTCTCTCTGGACAGAAGAGCAGCAAACATTGAGGCAGTTTGAGGGGACTTGGACTGCTTCTCCTGGCCTGGCCAGAGACTGCTTTGCTGGTGGATCTGGCCATTTCCCCAGCTCCACCTTTAGGTCCCTGCATTCCGAAGCCCAAGAAAAGAGTACATGATGCCGGTCCAGAGGCAGGGAGCGAGGACCCATCTGACCTTCCTCAAGAGCCAGAGAGCAGGGATTTGGGTCCAGTGATCACCTCAAAGGTACATCGTGGCCCTGACAGTGCAGGATTCATACACACACGGAAAGGAAGCAATAAAGGTTATGAAATACAATTTATAAACATAAAATGGAATTAGAGATGACATTTTAACAGGAGACTTCCAGGGGCAAGGGAGGAGAAGGGCCTGGTGGGGAACCAATGGCCGAGATGTCAGAACAAATTTAATTTTGCTCATTCAATGCTGTTTACTCTTTTAACCAACAATTTTCCCAAGGCTCCAGAGCACTTCTTGTGCATCTTTATCATGCAGATAAAGCACTCCAGACTCACTGAACAAATCCCTACTACTCAGCACACAAGCTAAGGGCTGAGGAGAGGCTTATTCCCGGGTGGGAGCACCCCTCCCTCCCCTCCCTCCCCTCCTCCCTCCCTCCCCTCCTTCTAGCACTGGAGCCTCCTGGTGCTGGGGATACCATGCTTGACCTGCAGATGGCAGTAGAGAACCAGTTACTAAGTAGCTCTCTTAACGACCTGCATATGCATTTGTATTTTCCCCAAATTTAAAAAAAAAAAAAAAGTCTTAAAAAAAGAGGTGAAAATCTCATGTTGCTGTTAGAGTTGATCACACCTGAGGCAGGTCTTGGTTTAAAGGCATATTCTGGAAACACCTTTGGGTGGGGACTTTATGTGCAGGCTGGGAACACACCTGGACGCTTGTAAGAGATTTTCTCTAAAGGAAGAGACTGCAGGTCCCAGCCTCTGGGGCAGAGCCATGGAGTGTGACCTTCCCCTTTCAGGTTTTGGGGTTGGATCTTCCCAGGCAGCATGAGCAGACGTATTCTTCTGGGATGGACATTTCAGAGGTCATGCCTGCCTTCTGTCCCTGGACCACTGCATTAATCATAGTGCTTGGTGATACATGTGCATTTTCAATATGCAGTGAAAAAATATCTTTGGTTTCAGTTTACTTTTCCATATTTCCACAGAGAAAACAGACAGAATGTTTGATACTATTATCTTTTTTCATTCAATGATGTGATTACTATCCACTTTTAAAAAAAATAGCCTGCTTTTGAGGATTAATTCATAAAGAAATTCAAATGATACACACTTCACAGTCTGACTCGTTCCATCTTTTCTTTCTGAGTTAAGAGCCTTTCAATCCAAGCCTTTAGGGTGGATGATTCTTTTAGGGGGCTGAGGTGGACATCACCTGATGATGAGAAAGCATTTCCCTGGACGATGTGCAAAGAGGCACTTCCAGCTTTGGGAAAGGCGTGGTCATTGTAAACGTGCCCTCCACAGACTAACCAGGCCTTGTTTAACAGATTGTCCTTGCAGTGCCTGAGGCCAGTTAGAGGCTGTGTTAGGCGACACCCTAAAGGGTGGGCTAGGTGTGCCAGCCATGACTGGCACCCGCTCCTGCCACGCACTCTGCGGAGTCGGCCTGGCCGGGCTCACTCGACTCTCAGCAGTGTTGCCCCACTGAGTTGCCCGTTTCTCTCTGCTTAGCTGGACCGCGGGTTTACCATCAAGAGATCAGGGTCTTTGGACTACTACCAGCAACCAGGAATGTATTGGATAAGGTATGACCCAGTGCAGCTCCAGTCACTGTCTCCATGGCAACGTGCTAGCAGTTTCCATCAACCAGTCACAGTAGGCGACATGCTTCTGACCTGTCACCAGTCCATACGCTGCTTTCTCGGTTCCATCTGACTCTCGGTCGGGCACCACCCATCATTCCTTTCTTTCGCCCATCCTTCACAGCGGCATTTGCTAGCTTCCTCTCCATCGCACATGCTCAGCACCAGTCTTCCTTCTGGTTAAAAGGACAGTATATTCATCAAAGCCCAGTTCTGCAGCCCTGCTCCTACTGCCACAATGTTGCTATTTACAGCAACAATTTCCACTGCCCATTGCACTGCCACAATGTTGCTATTTACAGCAGCAATTTCAGTTCCCCTGACCCCACTGCCACAATGGCCCTGCCTTCACAGGTGTTCGGAGAAGCATATACTGTCATTTTAAAGCCACTAAGCCCAGCCTTGACCCTTACTAGCTGGATGAAGCAAAATGCATCGACCCCTTAGCAGTAGATGCTCTGAGCCCCATGAGCCATAGAATGCATCGTCTGTGTGGTGAGCTTGTGTCCTGACCCCCTTCCATTCTGTCCTGTTTGGTTTTGTTTCTGTTCTGACTGTTACCCCTCCCCAAGCCCTCTGTGTACTAGTTCTTGCATGAATTTACTTTTCTGTATTTGAGGACTGTCAGATGATCTAGATTGCTTCTCTCTCCACTCAAGTTAAAGGGATCTTGGGAGGTATTGATGTTTTTCTCTCTCTCTTCTTGATCTGGGGGGATGGATTCCATCCTGTCCTCATCTGTTCTATCCAGTGGTCTAGTCTTCCAGTGTGAGTGCTAGGCCCCTTTGGGGGTTTGAGAGATGAACTCAGCAATGTTGTAGGAAACCTGTTCTCTTTTCCATCTTCATGTTTTCTAAAATAATCTCCAGGTGAAACCTCACATTTTAGTGCTGGTTAAGAAAAATTCTAGTTGTTTTGGTATTTGTTTCCCAAAGGATGGAGCCTTAGGACTTGTGGACAGTACATGCAATCAGCTGGGGTTTGTTTAATGAACCCACTGCTGCAGTTCCATGGGCAGGCTCACTGTGGGGACAGTGTGGTGAGGACAGTGCAGTGGGGACAGTGCTGTGGGGACAGTCCTGTGAAGACAGCGCTGTGGGGATAGTCCTGTGGAGACAGTTCTGTGGGGACAGCACTGTGGGGACAGTGTTGTAGGGACATCGTGGTGGGACAGTGCTGTGGGGGCTATGCTGTGGGGACCGTGCTGTGGGGGCTGCACTGTGGGGAGCTGCGCCATGGAGATAGTGTTGTGGGGACATCGTGGTGGGGACTGTGCCGTGGGGACCGTGGAGTGTGGGCTGCACCACGGGACGGTGCTGACTGGCGCCCAGGCCACTGTATGCAGTGGACAGTTTGATGTCATGGTGCACAGCTGACCAACGTTGATACTAGACTGGGCCCAAATGTGTGCCGTAGTGTGGGACAAGTGTGAAGTGTGGTGAACATGCCTGGATGCTGCAACAAGCTGTAAAGAGAAGCACACGACAGTGAGGTGTGCTTACACGTGGGTAACACATCTGAGTGCGGTTAAGCATGTGTTTGTGGTTTGTGTATGTACCTGTAAGTACACAACATTTCCACACACCACTTGGAGTCAGTGTGACAGGAAAGTGGGCTTCATCAGTTTCCACACACGTATACATGCACATGTACATATGCCTGTGTGTCTGTACATGAGAGTGTGTGCATGTGAACACATATGTATGTGCACGGACACACATCCACATGGAAATACAATCCTGTTGTTACAGTAGCTGTTGTTTATAATGAGACCAAGGAAGGGGCAAGAAACAATTACTTTTTATAAACTGGTCACAGCAGTGAGGACAGCCGTCCTCAAGTTCATTGTCAAACCCCAGCCACGCCCACACTGTCATGTGGGCTCTCATGACTTGATGTGGCTTCTGAAGCAGAGTCCTCACAGGAAGAGCAAGCCCTCTCCTGCCATGGAGAGCTTGGTGGATTAGAACCACTGACCTAAAAAAAAAAAAAAAAAGAACCACTGACCTGTTTGGATGAAGCCCAGTACATAACACATTCTGCCACCAGGGCTTCTAGACATATACAAAGAAGCAATAAAACACTTACACTTCCATAATATATTTAAAATCTGTTTCCTAAAGAAGCTTCTTTGAGTCTTCTGGATGAATGTATATATGGAATAGCACAGTGAAGTTTCGTTTCTCAAGTCAGTTAGCTTTCTTTACAGCCACAGAAGAAACTTTGACTTTGAGCCTCCTCTTTTTTTGGTTGGGTGGGTTTTTTGTTTGTTCTATTTTGTTTTCGAGCCTTCTTTTTTGGAAGTGGTGGTGACTGGGTCCTGATTTGCCCTTGTGCAAACCCTCACGTCTGACATGGAAGGTGGGAGAGAGCTGGCTAGACCACCTCTTACTGTTCACTAAAGAATAATTGGCATCCAGCATGTGCACACGTCCTGTGCACATGTGATCCATGTCTGGGGTGTGCATGCATCCTGTGAGACATCCTGGGATGCTGCCCTGAAGCCCTTGTAGGCAGGGCACCTCAGAGCCCTGGTGCTGACCTGCCTCCGTCCCCTAGATAGCATCGCTTGCTCTGTTCTTTGTGGGCATCACAGGGTGCCTTACCCCCTCCTGTTTTAACCCCTTCCATGTCCCCAGACATCAGCCAGGTCAGCCAAGCATGCCTGAACAGGGGAAGGGGTACCAGGAAAAATCTGCATGCAGAGCATCTAATTACAGTTGTGTGTATCAGCATAACAGAAACAACCTATTTAAGTTCATCTCACTTCAAATCTCACCCTCCCCTCAAAAAAAAAAAAAAACAGAAAGAAAGAAAGAAAGTAAACCAGCCACTCAGAGATTGGGAGGGGGGTGGGGTCCACACCTTAATCCATGGCAGATCAAGGCTCCCCATTGCCACTCATCCAAGAGAAAAGAGCAGAGCAGATGGGCTTCCTCTTCCCTGTGTGTCGTTCCTCAGCTGAGGGCAGAAACAACGTTTACAGTCAGTGCTACGGTAAACAGCACGCCCAGGCCATGAAGCTAAGTGGGAGAGGGGGAGGCTTGGAACCAGTGCTGGGGAAGCTTAATTAGGACATTTTCTGAAGCCGTTTAGCCCCAGAACACACACGGCTCACTGATCACAGATGCCTGTTTTATCTCTCCTGAAGTGGTGCATTCATCTAAGGAGGTGATGGTGGTGGTGGTGGCCAGCTTTCCAGCATAAACAATCACTGTGGATGCACCCATCCCACCCAAGGGCTGATCCCTGCTCTGGGTGTGTGTCCTGCTGCCCTGAGCACCCACTGGCCTGCTCTCCTGCAGAGCAGCTCATACAGTCTGGGAGATCGTCCCTGGGGTGCCCAGGATTGGAGCGTCCCTCCTAACTGACGTTCTGGTACCCGTGAAGATGTAGTAGTGATCTGCCTTTTATTCTCTGCTTCTTAGTGGAATGGGGAGCCCAGCTGTGTGTAGAGGGGGGCCCCGTGGCTCTGCCTGTGTTGTGGGGCGGGGCAGGGGTCTCTGTGGCTCTGCCTGTGTTGTGGAGAGGGGTAGGGGTCTCCGTGGCTCTGCCTCTGTCACAGGACCCTGCTCCGAGGTGCCAGCACCCTGGGGCTTCTTCTGATGCTAAGTGACTGGTAGCAGGTCCACATGATGCCTCCATCACCAGCGAGCCCTGGGGAAACACCCAGCTGTCTGCCTCAGGGCCTTCGGCTTGGATCCAGCTCCTTTGGAAGCAGACCTGGTGTTTGTTTCTAGAAAGGTTCGTTGTTGTATTGTTATCGTCATTTCTGACTCAGACTATATCGTTGTATAGCAGAACACACCCGCCCGTGCTGCCCCGTCCTCACACCACCCCTGGACAGTCACTGGCTTGGTCCACTGCCTGTGTCCTGGCCCAGAGCCTATTTTCGCTGACCATTACCCCATCACTAGAGTCCTGAGAACATGTCCACACAGCAGGATGCTGTCTTTCCACCTTTTCTGCCAAGAGCGATGTGCTCCCCTCCAGGCCGTCGACCTACTGTTCTCGCTGGTCATGTTGTACTTGATGCTTTTCACCAAGAAGGTGGCCGGTCGCTTTGAAGTGTCCCGGCAGCTCTGCTCCACATGCAGGTCAGATGGGGCCTCCAAAATGCACCCCTCCAGTGGACTGTCACCACAGGAACCAGGGACACGCAAAGAAGGACCCAGGGCCTTCAGCACGCAGGATAGGGCGGCAGCTAGACCTGCTGACCTGGTGATATAAATTCAGACCCATGGTGACCCTGCGGGACCGGGAGGGTACCCCTGAGATCTGCACTGAGGTCTCTGAGGAAGCAGGTGGCTCCTCATGCCCACGGGAAGGATGTTTTGGTTAGTAGCTGAAGGCCTTAACCACAGAGCCACCAGTTGCCGTTATGTAGCCTCAAGTTGGAATTGACTCATTGCCGGCCCTCCAGTCGTTTTCAAAGGCTGCACATGGTGATAGAGCCAGTTCCCCTTTCTCCTGTGGGGCAGCTGGTAGACTCAAACTGTGTCCCTTCCGCTTGCCGTGCATCTCCTTACCACACGAGGCCACCAGGGCTCAGGCTGAGGCTGGCCGAGTGGCACAGCAGGACAGGCATCTCTCTGGAGACGTCCCCGTAACTGAAAGCATGGAAGTTCAAGCCTAACAAGTCGAAGAAGTTTAAACTTCAGAAGCACCAGACTTCATCACAGAGATACGTTTGGGAACTGAGCTCTGCGGCTGGCCCTGCGTTAGGGAGCTGGCCAGCTTGCTGTTACAGCTCTGCTCAGAAGCCAGCGTGTTTTGAGACCCAGCCGTGCTTCCAGGGTGGCCGTGGCATGACTTGCAGGAACCAGGGGAATTGCTGTTACCCCTACCGACACAGAACCTTTAAGGCAGCCGGTGGCCCCATCTTTCTCCTACAATGTGATCTGGGGGTGCAAACCTCTGACCTTTCAGCAAGCAGATCAACA